AGGTGGAAAAATTAACAAAGGACCTAGAAAATACATGAAAAGAAAGTATTAGGTAGAGCTGCCCAGTAACCAGCCATGGCAGAAAGCGAAAAGCCTCATTTGAACAGCCGATGAAAAAATTTGGTTTGTTTTGAATTTTGTGCAAAGCTACGTGAGGGCTATCTGTAATAGTTGTCCCTAATTTAGCAGTGAATGATTAGAGGGAATGCAGCTAGTCATCACCACCCACCACCGACTATTGGACAACTATTTTATCAATGAATAGTAGGATTGAACATCACATTACAATACCCCCACAGCTGAAAGGGCAAGCATGTCTGGTAGGATGGGGATCCAAACCGCAACCCACAGATTGAAAGTTGAGCACCCTAACCACTTGATCAAATAAATTTGGAAAATTGAGGGATGGATTGTTTGTTTTTTGTTTTTAATTATGCACAAAGCTACACAAGGGCTATCTGTGCTCTGCCCACCGCGGGCATCGAAACCCGGTTTATAGTGTTGTAAGTCCGCAGACATACCGCTGGGCCACTGGGGAGCTGAGAATTGGAAGGTAATGAAAGAAAACAAGACCATGAGTCCAGCTATGGAAGATGTACCCTTGTTGTGGATAGACAAGGAGTGTGGTGGAAAAATGAACCAACAAGAGAGAGAAGGAAGGCTACATCTGGAACATCTTGCAAAAGTCCAGACCAAACCCACACATGAAGAGTGACAGAAGTAGAAGAAGAGGAGGAAACAGGAGAAGGTGCAATAGAAGAAACCATGGCTAAGCTGGACAGTAAGGAGTTATCAAGAGGACTCAACATGATGTGTCTAGAATGAGGGAGGAGACAAGTAGGAGAGTAAGCATGGAGAAAAAAGTTGGACCAGTTCTGACAGTTAAAGCTGAGGGAAGAAGAACCAGAGACCAGAAAGATGAACAAAAGACAGAGGATCTAACCTCCAAATCTAAAGAAACGACTTCAGAGATTAGGAGTCAAAGAAAAGCAATACAGCACAAAGTCATGCCTAGTCATATGAGGTAACAAAGGAAGGAGGATGAAGCACGAATGCCCCAAAATAGTGGTAAAAATAACTGAATATGTAAACAACATACCTGAGAAACCTAATCACAGAATTGTGAAAAAAAGCCAAGGTAGAGTCAAGACAATATGGGATGAAAATGGCAAAATCTCTTCCATCATGAATGAGAAACATAGGCAGAGGTATGTCAGGCACAAAAGAAGGCTCAGGCCACATGAAAGACTTCATTACTTGCCACACAAAAGCCATCATCTCTCCCAACAGACAAAGACAAACCCAATGCCAACATAATTAGTAGGCTAGTGTGAATAAAATCATGTTGTTTCACACCAGGCAATGTGGAAGTTATTAACACTTGTGAAACAGTCTTTGTAAATACTTCCACTGAAAAATGACTAAATCTGAAAAGTTTACAAGCAAAAAAAAAGTCATTGCACGAGTATCATTCAAGAAATGCTAACAGTACTCTATAGAGATAGTGAGCTGCACTAGGAGGGTGTATTGCACTCCTATTGGTGGAGGACTGTTGCATGCTAAAGTGCAGCTGCACCATGTGTAAACCCATGAGGTGGGAACAGAAACTGTGCATATAGAAGAGGTAAGATATTGCATCAGAACTCATATAATACTTGAGGGCCCTAACAGGACATAACAAATGATCAGGATCGGAGCAGTCATAAAGGTGAGAAATGGCTGGCAAATGGGTTGGTGAGAAGGATCGTTCCCTTCTCTGGCTACCAGTCTTGGGAAGAAAAGACCTATCAGGACAAATGTGGAATGATAAAGAGTCCAATGCACATGGATTGCAAACAACTCTGACTGACAATGTCCACGAGCTAACATCAACAAAAACTACAATTTAAGTGAAAGGTGAAACAAAGAACATGAAGCTAAGGGCTCAAAGGGAGAATGAGACAATGCATGTAAAAGAACTATAAAATCCTAATTTGGTAATTGTGAAGATCATTTGGGTCGAAGAATATGAAAGGATTGGAGTTGACCTGATAGTACTGAGGATTCAAAAACCTTCCCATACTTGGAATACCGAAAAATAGTGGATAAGGATGCTTTACAAAATAGACAAAGCAAGACCCTTCTCAAATACCCAAGTCATAAAACGGGATATAGTAAATATTTTAGTACGAAGAGGGTTTAAATTCCGTTTAATACACCACTGAGAATAAGTATTCCATTTCCGTTGATAAATGGCCATGGTTGGCCAATAGAGAGAGTTAATTAAATATAGAGAAACCTTAGAAGCCAAATCTTTATGTTGGGCAAAGAACCACATAATTTCCAAACATGAAGATTGAGTTTGTGAACATCTTGGTGCAAAATGTCTGATCGAGATTGTCAGAGACTGCAAATGTGAAAGAGGGAGAGGTGGACATTCCTGCAGATACCGAAGAAGCGGAAACCAAGTTTGAGCTAGCCAATATGGTGCAACCAAGAGAACTTGACAGGGAGTGGAAAAAAAACCATGACCAGGGGCAATAGTTGAATTGGGGTAAACCTGTCCAGTCCTGACTGAACGCATATATTGTCAACACTTGAGGATGAGATTTCCAAGACCAAAACAACTGCAGTTGAAAATTCCAATGAGTTGCAAAGGCATCGACCATTGGAGACACGAACAGGAGAGCAAATCCCCAGAAAAACATCATGATGTAACATCCATTCCGTCGGAAGAATCCGGTAGGGTCGAGACAAGTGATCCGAAATTAAATTCATCACTCCTGGAACACAAAGGTCTCAAGAAGGTGTGCCCCCTTAACGAGAAATCTGAGAAACCACTGTGGAATTTTCGGAATATATCATGACAATTTTTCCCTTCAAGAGAAACAGACTTTGTACCATTGCCCAATGTACTGCAAGGAGTTGTGAACGTTGATCTGGAGGGTAGACTTGTCTTCTGTCCAAATACCCTGGAATTCCTGACCTTGAAGATAAGCTCCCCATTCCTGAAGAGATGTGTCTGTGAACAGATAGATCTTGGAAGGAGGTGGTGGAATGGGTACCCCAATAGTAGTGTTATTCTGATCCAACCTCCATTCACAATCGACGATGTTGCTCCTAAATAATGAGACAGAATGATCCAAAGGATTGGAATGTATGACCAATGAAGGGTCCTCATATGTGCTTGTCCCAAAGAAATGAGAGGCTTGAAAGATGCCCACATCCCCAAAAGAGAGAGAACCATCCGTGTAGAAGGAGACATAAGTAAAAGCCTGATGGCTCTTTCCATGGCTTGAAGCCTGATAGGGAGTTGGTTGAGCACAACTTAAGTGAGTATTGAAAAACACACCCAGATAGACAAGATATTGCATCAATGAAAGAATAGATTTCTCCAATCTAATAAGGAAGTCTGCTTTTGTGGCTTCTGAAAGGAAAATCTGAGACTGTTTTTCTGCTAATTGATGGATGGTGCTAGAGGGAGCCAGTCGTCCATATAATGGTGTGCACATCTAACATCTCTGGAACTACGACAAACAACAAGGTACAGAGAAAAGAGACTTCCCATAACTCCCTGAAGGCAGAAGAAGGTAAATGAACACTTTCTAACAAAGCATCTTTACCCAATAAATCCCAACAGCAAACCAGCCATAAACCAGAGAAAGAACTGAAGAAGACAATCTGACTGAGGTAGATGTCAGTAAAATCCCCAACTCATCCTCAATTTGCTGAGGTGAATGTTGATAGGCTTCCGACAAACGTTGGATCGAAGATAAATATCTCAGGACAGTCATGAGAGTAAGACAATTCCAAGAAAACTGTGATCTATTTAAAGTGATCATAGGTTCCAAACTAGACCCCCACAGGTTCAAAAGGGGATCCATCCCTTGAGAATCTAAAAATACCTCCTCCTGACGGTAATAAGCCAAAGCATGCTGTTCTGATAAATGTGGGGAACAAGGCATAGCTATCCCATCGCGTAACTGAGCAGCAAATCTCCCAGCATGAACAGCAATATCAGGAGGAAAAACCGAGTAGTCACTTGCCATCCTTTCTGCCAATAAGGAAGAAGTAGAGTCAAATGCAATAGGAAAGACCCCCAAAACCTCACAAACCCCAGTAACCAACTGAAGAAAAGGGGCTGGAGTTGACTGATCAAGATTATTCTCTGTTGAGGCCAACCTAGTAAAAAAAGTAGCAGGAAAAAGTGAGTCTAAATTCTCCACAGCTGGTTCTAGGTCATTTGCAAAAGCTGCCTTAGAACCCCCCCCGGAGAAACACCCTCAGTCCATCTCACAACGGATCATATCACGAACAGATTCAACTGAGATCGACCCCTCCCTTGGCCTTTGACAAACACCAGATAGCAGAGGTGGAAGAGAAGAGGTCTGGTTGGTCTCTGTATTAGAAACATTAACTCAGGAATTCATACCCGTCAGTACGTTTTTTTCTCTGTTTTGTTTTTTGTTAAAGTAATTTATAAATAAAAACAAAGATATAACCGCAGTAATGCCAATCATGTTTAAAGTTGAAACAAATTTTGAATAATCACTCCTGTTTATAGAAACCCATGCCAAATGCTTTGTTGAGAAAAAGTGATTACATTATCTGAATTAAGTGCTTATATACAGTACCTAGATGGAGGGCACATTGAAGCTGGTGGAAAATATTCCAAATTAGTATTTGCCAAGGGCATTTGAGTGGGGTATAAAAAACTGGAGCAAGCATTTTCAATGCTTAGATGGGCAAAGAGTGGAAACCCTGCAGATCAAGAAATAGCTATAGTGTCAGCAAAGGTAAGTGTGTTTTGGAAAAACTAGAATCTCAGGTATAGAGGATGATGACAAACTGGAATGGATCACGCATGTTGGTTATCAATCTTTAGAACTGTGATACAACTTAAGCATTTTATTCATATTTTTCCTTAGTTAGTTTGACACAAAAAATATTTTTTCACAAAATGTAATCCTAAGATGATACTAATTTGTGTCATTAATTACTGCAGGAACCTGGTAAAATACCTTTTCCTCATAATCAGGTAGTTTATTTCGCGACAGCTGAATCTCATCTTCATAGTTATAACCCTTGTCTTTCTTGATCTTTTCCAATTTTCCTTCTGCATCATAGTTATCAGCATCTAACTGAAAACAAAAAAGACACATACATAAAAAAAGAATTTAAAATAACTATATGTAGTACTGAATCTGATGATGATGTACTGCTTCAGTACTGCAGTAGAACTGGATGTCATGCAAATGATAATTTACTAAAAGTTAAAAATGCTAATAAACATGAGTGAACTTCAAATGTAAATATTTGATTAATATCTTAAGCCACAAAATTTACTAAAAATGAGCAAATGTTTAAAGAAATGTCTATGTTTCACACTTACCGTTTGATGGGTTATTTTCAACAATACAGTGTATAAAAAAATCCATATGAATTACGTTTTGTAATATCTACTAATTAAAGAATTATAAGTACTGTAGTCTCTTTGAAGTGTTTAAGAAAATTTTAGGATTACATGCAATAAATTTAGGAAATACAATGTATGCAAAAAAAATATTATAATCCTAAACAAACAAAATAGAACATTTCTATACAACCACTGTACATAATATTGCCATATGCTGGTAAACATATTAAATGGGAAAGACTATTGAGTAAGTTTTTTTTCATACAATTTTTCCAAATGTTGATTTATGAGTTAATCTTTAAACCTGTATGTTATACATTCCAATATTTTCTCAGGTTCCAAGATAAAATGTCTAACGTATGTATTTATGTCTGAAATGTACCAGTAATTCTAGGTATAATGATTATGAATCAACCATTAGGTAACTAGAAACATGCAAATTTAATGACCAATAACAATTTAGGTATAAATAATCATAATCTCAGTGAATGCGTTATAGCAATACATCACAGTTCATTTAAGACTTTTCCAAGAGGTAGAGATTAATAAAAGTTCATGTATAAAAGAGACTACTTTTATTAATCAAGGTCACAATTCAACAATAAAAGTACATGCTGTATTAATAAGAGCCTACTCTCTTTATATATGGATGTACAAATATATTGGGAAAATTGTCTGAGCTTTTTACTTCATAAACAGAGATATGAAAGCATAAAAAAATATATACATATTTCTACAATAATGAAACAAAAGAAAATGATACATATTTAAGAGAAATAAGTAGATGATTGTTAATGTACAGTGCATACATGCCAAAATCCAGAGTAATTTTTGACACCATTTAACACCAATAACCTAAATTCAGGTTACTAATAAATCACAGATACCTCCTACTTTTGCAATGTTCTAAAATACAAAGAAAATATGAAAAAAATATGATCTTGCTTTCCTATATACAATGTAGACTTGGCAGCCAAAATATCAACTACTTCAGAATTTCATACATCTATAGATTGCACATAGATTGATACCAAAAAAGACAAACACCAGTTTAGTCATACCCAACGTTTTTTTAAGTGACAATTTTTACACATTAAATCCAGACAACTAATAATATTCATTGCAAAGTACAAAAATGTTACACACTAGTTGGGGTCATTCCACAAACAGATGTATTTAATACACTTCAATATTTAAAGGCTGAAGAATTTTTTTCTTATTTATCCACCACATGTAGAGAAACTGAAAACAACACAGTGCCTAAAAATTTACTTTTCAATAAACACAGGTTGATTGAGACTTCTATGAACTTGTAGTTGTGTACACCACTATAAACATATTCACTTTAAAATTAAGATATAGTAGTCTTTAATTTGTTATTAATATAAAACAGGTGAATACTGTTTCTATCTTACTGAGAAAATTACATGTAATATCTATTTTTTAACAAAGTTTAGAATATTATTGGATAGTGAACATGGTTTCACTAAGGGAAAATCTTGCCTTACAAATCTTTTGACATTCTTTGAAAAGGTTACTGCTTATGGAGATGAAGGTAAGATCTGGTGTACCTGGATTTTCAGAAAGCTTTTCACAAGGTGCCACATAATAGGCTTGTAAAAAAATTACCTCTGTAGGTGTGGCAGATAAGTTAGCAAATTGGATAGAAAAGTGGCTGGATGGAAGAAAGCAGAGGGTTGTTATAAATGGAGTTCAGTCAAACTAGATTAATGTCACAAATGGGGTACCTCAGTCTTAGGACCTTTGCTCTATTTGATTTATATCTAGGATATAGATAAAGGAATGGTCAATAAAGTACTTAAATGTACTGTTGATATTAAGATCTTGGGTGTTGCTAACTGTGAAGAGGATGCTGCTGCTTTACAAAAGGATTTAAATAATTTAGTGAGTTAGGCAAATAAATGGCAGATGGGTTATCATAATTTAAATTATGAGAATAATTTGGATGGGAATAACCCTAACAGTGTCATGAAAGAAAGGTATCTTGGTTTAATGGTTGATCAGTCTCTTAGACCATCCAAGCAGTGTGCTGTTGCTAGTAATAATGCAAATAGAATTTTAGGTTGTATCTACAGAAATACTGAATACAAGTCTAAATAGGTTATAATTTCATTGTATAGGTCACTGGTTAAGCCACATTTGAAGTATTGTGTTCAATGTTGCGCTCCTTACCTTAGGAAATACATTGAATTGTTGGAAAGGGTTCAGAGAAGAGTTACTGGAATGATGCCTGGGATGGAGGGTTTGTCATATGAGGAGAGTTTAAGATCTTTGAAACTGTTTTCTCTTGAAAAAAGATGAGTTAAAGAGGATCTGATTGAGGTGTTTAAGATTGTAAAGGGAATTGATAGTGTTAATGCATTATCTTTTATCATAATTAATGGCAAGAATAGTAGGACTAGGGGACACAATTAAAAGTTTTGACAGAGTAGGAGTCATCTTCAGCTAAGACAGTTATATTTTTGTAACAGGATGGTTGGTCTTTGGAATGGGATACCTTCTGATGTTGTGGAGGTAATAAACTTAAGTGAGTTTAAGAGAAGGCTTGATAAATATATGAATGATAAGGGCTGGCTTGAAGATTTTTTTCTTCAAGCCTATTATAATAGGCTTGAAGGATTGATCAGCCAAGATGGACCAATAGGTCCCTTGTTGTCCTTAAACATTATGATACATGTAATGTTAAATTTTCTTCAAACATTTCACAAGTTTATTTGAAAATCTAGCCACCCAATTCTTAAACAAAATTTACTTAACTTCTAGTAGTTAAATACTTGCATTTTATTTTCCCACAGTTTATACACATATCATATACATGTATTTACAAAGCAAATGTAATATTTATAGAAACTTAACTTGACACCACTATATTTTTTTCCAATTTTTCTCAAGTACTCAAGAAAGATAAACTGAAATTATATGCAGTAAATGTTCAAATGTATTTTAGAATATGCCTGTTCTAAAGGAATGTATAGAAACTTGATCAGTTAAGGTTGAGGCAGTCTAAAAATATCATAAGATTACACATTTTAGGGATGTTTTAAATGCCTTCCACACCTAGTTTTGATAACTTATTTGATTAAATGTTACATTAATATCAAGAGGACATTATTCTAGATGAGGCCACAAAGGGAATTCCTTCTCAAACTCTATGTAATTACATAGGCATGGCACAAAATTAAAGTGCGCCTGATACCAAATGCTCCTAAAAATACCACACATGTAAAAAACTTAGTAGGATGTGTCCAATTAGTATCACATGAAAAATATCTAGGTAGTTACATTATACTAGACAAAACAACACTGTCATTTCCAGCCAGTATACAGGAAAGTGTTCTCTGAGTATAAATCAATTTTTTATACTTTTGTATGATTAATTCATGATTTTGCAACCTGAAACAATTGTAAATTCAAAAATTCTTTTGATTAAATTGTTTATTAATTTGTAGATTATTGTTTGACTTATACTCTGTATGACATGACAGTAGTTTCTAGAATTTGTGTGAGGATATATAAGCATTTAAGCAGATTCTTCTGTATCATTACAGCTGAAACTATATTAGCATATCATTACAAATGATTATTTCAACAAAAAGAAAGACTACTTTGACTGCTTGGTTCAGAAGAAACTGAACTAACAGGAAGCAAGTTACCTTCCAATAGGCAAGTGTTGTGTTTTTCTACTATCACAAAACAATAAAAAAAGACATTTTTTGTGAAAGCTCAAAGGCTATGATCAAGGAGGCTGCAGCTTCTTGGAACAAGGCTCAAATTTCAATTCATTGAGAACATCATGTCATTATCAAACTGAGAAGCTTTTTGAAAAAATGGGCAAAGCTAAAGAAAAATTAAAAAAGAAAACTGAAACACAGTGAGCTAATGAAGCATAGTTTATCAATATTCTTGATAAGTTTTTTGATATCATTCATAGGAATGCCTTGACCTTGAGCCAAATCCTAGAAGACAAGGGTGAAAGAGGATGTTGTAGGTGAATGGGCTAGATAGATAAGGTTTTTTTTTAAAATACTCAAATGCTCAGAAAAGAAATGAGGCAAGTGTGGATAGAAAATGGCATGCAGAGCAGAAACAGCAGACCTTGAACGAAACTGTCAGATATTGGAAATCCTATAGCAGTGATGATGAGGTTGGTGGATAAAGTACCACTAACACTTGTCTTTACTGCTACAGTTCACAGCCTTGGTCATAATATGCAGTAGCTAAATATCAAGCATTCTTCAGTATAAAGATCTTGATATCACGTTTGTGAAGAACTGCTCTAAAACTTAAAGGAAGAGTTCTAGCCAAAAGTCTCATTTGTAGTTCACTGGTATAGCAAGCTCCTTAACCCATTAACTGCAAATGACGGATATTTCTGTCACTGAAGTTCTATGGCTCAGCTGCGAATGACGGAAATATCCGTCAGTCGCACATATATAACTATAACTCTATGCGAATGACGAAAATTACCATTTTATTGTGATTGATGGCAACTCAGTTTTATCTGTGAGTCAGAAAACAGCAATTGAGCTGCTCCTGTCGCAGTTAATGGGTTAACGAACTCTCGGGGAAAGAACAAGTGGTTCATCTGCCAGTGATCATGTATGAAACAGGAGTAAACCAATTCCTAGGTGTTTCATAGTTTATTTATAGCACTAGAGAGGCTCAAGCTTCTCCTGTGGCACATTTACTGGAAGAGTGGGAAGTCACTGATCCTGTAAAGGCAATTTGCTCTGACAGAATGGCAAGCAACACTGGTCACAGAAACAAGGATCTCCTGTATATGGCATGCCAGCATCATATCTTAGAATTTGTCCTGTCAAGTATTTTCAAAGACTGTACGAAGTTTTCCTCTGGTCCAACAACCTTTGGAACACATAGACCACTTACAAAACTGCAACTGACCATGTTATAAACACATTACTTTAAAATAAAGTGTGAAGTTTTTCAGAGTATAATGTTACAAGTGGCATGCCCTTTTAGGGAGAAAATGCTACAAAATATCTCAGTAAAAGCAATAATATTTTGAAAGTCTTCACTTTTAACTTGTCCAATAGGAAATTCCAACAAGAAAAGTGTAAGGTGGTTAAAAAAGGTATTTTGATTATTTAGTAAGTTTCGTTAAGAATTATTTTCGTATGGGTTGATGTGTAGTGACAGTTATGTTTGTTTAATGTATATCAGTGCTAAAGAAGGTTTTTCTCTGTCTGTAAAGGAAACTAGACTCTTAACACCAAAAAGACCCAAGGAAAACCCGAAGAATCAACAATACCCTCAATTACCTTCACAGACTGCCATACACTCCACCTGCTCAGGTGGACTGCCAGGTAATGGTCAAAAAATAAATGGGAACCTGAACCCTATAAAGTCAAGAGAGAGAGATCAGCTGCAGTGAAGGACAACACCCCTATTGCAGTTCAGAAAAATCTGCCTCTTAAATGCCAAGCTGGTGGATGAGATTGGCCCTGACCAAAGCAGTAATACCATCAGAGAAACCACTGTGGCAGATTGCCAGATGACTGCCACATTGGATATTTGTTGATCAGCCTGAAGGAAAGGCAAAAGAGTAAACCCTCATGCTTGCCATTGGGTAAGTATAATTGTTGTATGTCCATATTTTATTTTAGTAATTTAGAAGTGCTGTATATATGTAACTGCATCCATTTCTTATTTTCTCTCTAGTGTGTTGAATAGTTTTTTTGCTTTGGTTAGTTTAATCATGTGTTTTGATTACCTTCTATTTAATGGTGATAGAATTAATTTGATCCTTTTTTTTCTGTTAAAATGTTAATTTTGTATTTTGATTATTTAGTAAGTTTTGTTAAAAGATCTTTTTGTATGGGTTTTATGTGTTGTAACATTTTTTTGTTCATTATATAACAGTGGTAAAGAAGGGTTTTTTCTGTCTATAAACTGTTTATTGTCAAAACATATTTCATGCAAAAGTTAACATTTTCCCAAGTTGAAAATGTATTTCTAATAAAACTTACCTCCGCTGACACTATTAGAGCTATTAGTTGACTGCCAGAGTTTCCATCTCTGCCCATCTAAGCATTGGTCTGATTTTTTTCTCACTTGCTCCAGTCTTTTATAACCCATTCAATTGCCCTTGGTGATATACTCTCTACCTACTTCAATGCACATCGTGGAGATGAGAAATAGCTGCCAAAAGAATTGGGGAGAAGGATTTATCCCCTTCCCTGGCTACCAGAGTCTTAGGAAGAAAGGACCTATCAGGGTATAGGAGGACCAAAGTGGAGTGATAAAGAGTCCTGTGCACATGTAGTGCAAACAACTCCAACCTACAATGTCTGCATGCCAGCAGAAACAAAATATACCCTTTAAGGGAAAGGTGATACATGTTACATGAGGCTAAAGGCTTGAAGGCATGTCAAGACAAAGCATGTAATACCACTCTAATATCCCAGTTGAGTAACTGAAAAGGACGTTTGGGAGGAAGGACACTAAACGATTGGAGAAGGCCAGATAGCACTGGGGAGTAAAAACTTTCTGGTGTTTAGAATAACAAAAAGTAGTCAATAAAGCTACCTTATATAAAGCAACAGTAGATAAAGCTAGACCTGAGTCAATAAACCAGGTCAAAAACGAGATATAGTGGGCACGTTTGGGTGATGTGGGTTCAATCTCCTCATGAAACACCATTGGCAATAAGTGTGTCATTTCCATTGATAAATGGCTATTGTGGATCTACGGATAGATTGAGACACATATAGAGCAACTTTAGAAGTTAAACCCCGATGCTGTGCAAAGGACCACATAACTTCCATACATGAAATTTGAGCTTGGGAAATTTTGGGGGTAGAATATTGGATCAAGGTTGCCTCAACAGAGATACCCAAAGAGGCAGAGGTGGATCCTCTTGAAGATACTGTAGAAGAGGAAACCATGGTTGGGCCAGCCAATCTGGGGCTACCAACAGCTCTCTAGTAGAAGATTGAATCATAGCCAGAACTCTGGGTAACAGACAAACTGGAGGAAAGGTATTGAAGTGCAATCTCACCCAATCCTGACTGAATGCATTTATTGCCAAAGTCAAAAAACGCCTGTAGTTGAGAGTTTCAATGAGTGGCAAATGCATCGATCGTCAAAGTCCTGAGAGCAAATCCACCAGAAAACCTCACAATGGAACATCCATTTGGTCGGGAGAATTTAATTGGGCCAATACTGGTGATTTGTTATGAAATTCATCACCCCTGGAACATGGAAAGCCAGGAGCTGATATTATGGGAGTGAGTCCAGTAGGGAAATATCCAAAATTTGAAAACAAAGGTCTCAAGAATGCATGCCCCCATGACAAGAAATTTAAAAGACCACTGTGGAATGAATCATTATGATTTTCCCCTACAACAGATCTATTTCCTATAGATCATTTTCAAGACGGTTCTGCTATGATTAGTGTCTGGCAAAAAGCTTTAGCAGATATTTCCTTTGCAATATCTCAACCAACAACTTTCAAGATCTACATATCTACATGTGCCAATGGTTCCATTTATCAATGTTATATTTTAAGATCTGTGCAAGAACTCAGCTAACAGATGTTTCCGCATATAAAAGCTATCTTTAATTAAGATATAAATGTAAAACCTAAATGCAATCTAAGTATTTAGCAAACTACTACATATAAGGTGAGAAACACTTGCCAAACAATACATACCTCTTAAGAGAACAATGGACTAAGCTTATTTTCTATTTCATACTACAGATCCATACATAGGTAGAGGTTTCTTCAGGCTATAACTGAATAGTACGAAATTTGTTCTTTCTATTTGTTATAAACATGGCATTCAACTTCAAAGTGTCACTTGAGAACACAGCTTTGACTTTGAAAGTAGGCGTGGCTGACCGTAAACTTAGAAATATTAGAATGTTGTTTCACAACAAAAGAAATTCTTGGAAGTTCCCCCCAGCTAATGAGAGACAGCTGGAAGAGACAGTCTATTATAGGAACTCATAGTTTCTTGTGTAAGACCTCTAAAATTTGAGGATTTTAACCACAGTGGATCACGTGACAGCAAAAACCGCAGTTTTAATTGCTGTTTTCTTTTTAAAATAAAGGAATTAACTTAGATAATATAAAACCTTAAATTACAACATACTTGATAATAGTAATTTCATTAAAATACATTTATAGAAAAGTGGTTTAATTCAATTTTGAATTTAACTCAGTAAAATCTCATGACATGCGCAGAAAGGGGTTTAAAGGTTCATCGCATTCAAAGGATTAAATCTATATCATCTGTAACCAATAGAAAACCAAGGTTTTCATCAATCAAATGACATCTAATAAAAATGGAGCTTATGATGAAAACGTCCCAAACTCGGATCGCGGAAAATACCCTACCGATCATCACCAATCATAACTGGGTAATATTTTTATAACTTGGCAGTATTTTTATAGCTGAGCAATAAATAAAACAATTGAAATTTCCACAAAAATGATATGTTTCAGATTTAACCATTAAAAATTACAAAAAAAGGAGCAAGTTTCAAATATAAAACAATCAAAAACAAACTTAAAAAAAGTATTTGTTTTTCTTTAATGAAAATCTTATGAGTGTTGCAACAAAAAACAAGACACTTTCATTGATAACTGCATCTACAAAGAAACACTTCAATGAAATCTACTCTGTAATGTAATGATGATAGCTCATTTTCAAATTAAAATTTCAATAAAATCCTTTTTCTCATAGATGGTGAACATTATTGAATGTCAAGTATAAATCCATTATTGTAGAACTGTCATACAATTCCAGAAAAGGCTGCAGGAATTAGCAGTTATACCTGTTCAATAGAAAATCAAGGTTTCCAAATGATGTATTATATAACATTTTCTGAATGGAGAATTGTCAATTTCACTCTTATTACAAGCTTTGTTCCCATGGGAGAGATAATAAGTAGCTTGGAGGAATTTGTAATGGCTCTTGTTGTATAGTTAGAAAGCCAGAAAAATTGTGAGAATTAGGGAAAAATTGTCTACTTTTGCATGTTATTATTATTCAATATTCTTTGGTGCATTATTTAATTAAATAAAAATTATTTTGCGCATTACTACCATTAGTATAAAAAGGTAGGGTTAAGTGTCATTAACAATCAACAGCAAGAGAAATGAAGATTCAGGAAAGTACTATATTTCTTGTTTTTCATGTTTATTCATTATTTACTATTATAAAAGTAATTAAAATGTAAAAACAGGAATCTCTTTAGGTTAGTTAACATTAGATTAGGAAAAATAAATAATAATATAAAAATTTTTCATGAGGCACACACGTGAGTAGCTCGTGGGTAACGTAATTCGATAGAGTAATATGACCTCCATGTTCCCCAAGTGATTTACAATTTATAATGGCATGAGTAGTGGTTATACATGGTTCAAATGGCAATAAACCAATAAAATTTAATTATAAATATATGTATATTGTTATGAAGTTAGAGCTACTTAAGATAAATGAATGTAGACAACTATGAAAATTTATTAAAAATGCACTATCTGTTGCATCAATAATTCTTGCAACATCATACTACTATTCTTGAATAATAATATTTATATTACAACCTAAGTTACAGTCCATGCCAAACTCACACTGCCTTCAATTTGAAATTTAAATTTGATTGTATAGGCATACAAACTTACTTGATAATAAATAACTCCACAGTTTTCATAAAGTTCTTTAATGCTAATAAACTGAGGAGGATTCAAATGATGTTCTAATTTCTGATCAGCATTGGAGTCATCCATATACCATGCATTCACCATTATTTCCTTTAAAAGAAAATTATAAGAAACTTATTTATATTGCATTACACAGGGAATGTATAAAGTCAAAACTTCGACACACAGGCTAAGTAATAAAACAGAATAAACATTCATTGTTTTTACACCATAAAATCCCAATTCGATCTTACAAAAATGCCAAATTTTGGTGACAACTTCAAACACGAGAAAATCTCATATGAAACTTTGAATGAATAGTTTTTGGTGTTGCTGATGTGGTAATTAGCATACCTTGTGTTTTCTCCCTTCTTATCTTAATATAATATGCTTCTGAATTATTAAATAATTCTAGGTATGTGCAGCTAAATTGCATCTATCCATGGGTGGTATGGCTGCAATGCTCTGCATTGTGCAAGGGTGTCAACAGCAGTGTCCTGCAATGATAAAACAGGTGATACTTTGAAGTTGTAACCTCCCTTAAATTTGAACAAGAATGCCAAATCACATTGTGTTAGTCACTCTAGGAAAGTCCTAAATTACTTTTGAATTTGGCAACATTTGAATCAAACAGTTTGGTGCATGATCTTAACTGGGTCAATCTGGTAGAGGTTATCATTCAATGTAGTTTGGAGAGAAAGAACAGCTCAGATCCATTAAAAATGAATGTTTAGCATCCAAAACAAGTGCATAAACTGTGTTCAAATTATATATAATAAATGTTGTTCATTATGTCTTACATTATGTCCAGTCCCTTCATTTCCTTTATACAAACTCAAATAGTGTCAGAGAATGTAATAAATATCTTTTTCAAATCTCCCACTATTCTGCAGAGCTATTGTATCATTCTAAGAAATATCTATTTTACCCAAGAATACCACAGAAAATAGTTTGATGCTATAACTACAGGATATCTTGTTGTGGAATTTTCTATTTTCTGCCAACATGTATATTGCCTTCTACTCTTACTAGTGTTTAAGTTTTAAAAAGCTTTTAGTAATGGAAATGGTATTTCCATAACTCAAAGGACTTAAAATCAAGAGGAAGAGTCGGTAAATGAAAAGATACAATTGTTTGAGAGAGAAAAAGTCCTACCTAGGACACAAGTCTTTTGTCAATGTTGTAAATGTCCAGGACTTTCATCTTGATGCAGCCAATAACTCAGGTAGAAGAGCCACAAATATCTGGTGCACTCAGAATAGTTATTCACACTCTTTCCTGAGGATTTACCTCAGTGTGAAAGAAGCACAGATAACTGACAGTCATCTCTGGGCATGCCTACCACACTGTATTTGCAACATTGAGAAAATTTTGGTCAGGTAATAGAAAAAATATAAAGGAAAGGTTTTTGCCATGATCACAAACTGCTGTGAATGAGGCAAACAGATATCACTCTAATGTTTAAAGGTGCAGTGAAAGATTATATGGAGCATTTCCCAAAATGTTTCAGGCAGGTAACCAATTGAAATGGCTGGTCTTCAGAACAGGTTGCACAATGCCTGATCTTTAGTGTAGACAATCTGGCCATAGGCTCCACTGGGCACTTGACCAAAGCACAACTTTGGGACTGCAAGACAGTTACTGCCAAGTTGTGCTGAAGGTCTGACCCATTGAAAAATTGAGCAATCCAATGAGTTGAGTTCAAGACACAGAAGAGGAGTACCACAGAGAACTTGGCTGCTTATATGTACAATCTGCACTGTTTGCACAGGGAGACACTTAGGTACCACTTGGGTGTGAAACATCTTTTCACCCTTACTAAAGGTAAGTAACCAAGGCTAGAAGTAGTACTAGCATTTTGTTGTCACACAGTGTCCTAAAGTGAGTTCTCGATTACCAACACACCTAAGATTGCAAACAACCTAGATCAATGCAGTTGCTGCAACTCTATAACCTCATGGTTAAACACGCTGATGGCTGATTGGGATAAAAATCAGTCACACAATATTACATAGTTACAGGTGGCATATGTCCAATTAAACAACTACCATGCAGGCATCCCTGATGTACTAGGGATGTAACTAGTGATGACATAAGTGGACATTTAAGAATAGGATCATTCAGCCTTCATAGATTGCTTGATCATCTCTAGTAGTTATTGTCAAAAAGAAGGAGGGTATGCCTGAGTTCTGTAGTGATTTTATATGAGTGAATGTAATAACTGGCACTGGTGTTTTTTCCCTTCCATGAACAGCTGAACATGTTGAAATGTTCACTATTTGTTTGAACCATGCACTGCTGAAATTGTTAATGAACAAATTCAAAAAATCTGAAAGGGATGATAAAACACTGGATAACTGTTGCAGGAGAAAGATTTAGTAATAGAGTATCATCTGGGCCCACAACATGAAAATGCTGACAGATTATCTTGCTATACAGTGAGACCATATCCCTTCTTTGAATGTTAAGATCCTAAACACTGTGTGGGAGTTTAAACCTTTATGCCAAAGCAACAACAATACATGCAGTAAGAAATTCTACTAGTTGATAGATGCCATAATTAATGCTTCAAGAGCTCAGGGAAGAGCAAATGAAGGACCTAGATCTAGCATGGACATAAAACATGGGCAGGTAGTACTGAATGGTTAATATTAAATAAATAATTTTAAATATTGTTCACAGTTAGTTAATCTTATGTAATACAAAGAAATTTTCCTTGTTGAGAAATATAGATATCTCAGGAGAAATGGAACAAGTCCAAGTCTTAGCTTCTGTGCAAGGGAGATTTTGATGAAGTTAAATTTCATTGTATTAACTAAAGTATGGATTAAGTTATATATGCCAAGTAATTATTCTATAACTTGGAGTTTGTAACAAATTGGAAAGTTTATTATAACATAAAGGTGTCTCTGCTTCAATTCCTTGTACTTTTCATGTAAATGTCTATATATATAGACAAATAGTGAGAAATAAGGAAGAGAGTTAAAATAAGGTAGTAACAAGTACAAGTAAAAAGTTTAATGGTCTATAAGAATTAGACATGGGTACAGCTACTGCAGAAATCAACATAGAGAAGGGGCATAACTGAAAATAAATGTAAGAGCACACACAGACATAGAAGTGACAACCATAGCTCTGCCTATTCCTGCAAGCAAACAAAGCACAAAACACTTAATTAACAAATGCTATTCTCTTATTTCCTGGTAAATTAGATATTGTTGTTGTTCATTTGATAGAAAGCCATACATTGGGCTATCTGCAATCTATCCACCATGGGGAATTAAACCCCAAATTTTAGAGTTATAACCCATAAACATACCCCTGACTCACTGAGGGACTAATTAGAAGGAAATATCAAATGTTTTCCAGACAGTATGCATTTCAGATTGTACTGATGTACAAAAAACAGTCAGACTAAGTATAAAAATATTAAGAGAGGCTAAAAGATTCATTTGGGTGTACAATAATTGAGACTAATCCCAGATTTTAATCTGTTGAAACACAGACTACTAAGAGAATACAGAAGATGTGAAACACTTAACACTATAATAAAGCAAATAAACTTGCTGACTCTGCAAAGAGGTGAAACTGTCCGAGTATTTGGGCACAAATTACAGGAGCTAGGTAAAAGGCTAAGATGGGTATATGTACACTCCAATGAACATTATTGGGAAACATCTGGATGCAAGTGATCATTGCTCTGTTAGGTTCAATGTTTTACTGCATATGGAGATAAGGAATAATGATATTTTGGTTACAAATTTCAAAAAGCACATTTTGAAGGTATGTGACAAGAACTATCTGTTGTGAATTGGGCAGCTGAATTATTTGGAGACACTGATCAGATGTGGAAAATTTTTAAATATTTAAGGTAAACATATTCCTTATACAAAGAAAATGGTAGCTACAAATAAAAAACCAGGTTGGCTCCCAAAGAGTTTAAGAAATGAAATTAAAGAAAATCATCATAATTTAAGAAATTTAAATTGACTGGTATCACAGAAGGTTTAGAAGATTATAGAAGATCAAGAAAGTTGGTGAAACAAGAAATTAGGACATCAAAAAAGATGTATGAGGAAAGGTTGTCTGAAAATGTAAAAATTAACAGTAAGGATTTCTTTAAATACATTAAGGGTAAACAAAATCTTAGAATGGGGATAGAACCCTTGATGATAAAGGAAGGCTTTGATCTGATGATTATTAGATGGTTGGGTTATTAAATTTTGCTTTTTCTTCAGTTTTTACTAATGAAAAGTTAAGCAGTATTCCACATCTTGATCAGTTGATAAATGGAAACAAGATCAAACAACATGACAGCATTAATTCTGATCTGGTTACGAAAAAATTGGGAAGTTTAAAAAACGATAAAGCTCCTGGGCCATATAATATTTCCCCAAGGGTTTGAAGGAGGTTAAAGAATGGATACGTGAGCCACTTACTACTATTTTTTGTCAGTCCTTGAATAGTGGGCAGGTACCACAGGATTGGAAGCTAGCTAATGTAACTCCTCTTTTCAAGGGAGGTGATAAAAATTGTCCCAGTAACTATCGACCCATTAGTCTTACATCAGTTGTAGGAAAAGTTTCGAAGGGCTGTTAAAAGATGCTTTGCAAAATCATTTAACAAACTTTCACTAAGGGGAAATATTGCCTCTCAAACCTTTTGGCATTCTTTGAAAATGTTACTACTTAAGTAGATGAGAGCAAGAGCATCGATTTGATGTATCTGGATTTTCAGAAAGCATTTGACAAGGTGCCACATAAAAGGCTTGTAAAAAAAATTATCTCTATATGTGTAGGGGATAAGTTAGGTAATTGGACAGAAAAGGGGCTGAATGGAAGAAAGCAGAGGGTTGTTACAAATGGAGTTCAGTC